GCCCGAGCATGGTTTACTTGTTATCTATGTTACCCTTATTCAGAATTTATAAAATTATTTTATAAATATTTTGGAGAGTGACTGTCAAGAGATTTACATTAAAGTTAAGTATCTATAAATATTTTTTAACAGTCAGAAAGTTCTTTCCTCAACGACTCAGAATAGGAAATCTTAAAAAAATTCAGGTAAACAGCTTAGAGGGGCTCCGTTACACTCAGTCGCAGGCCTTAGAAAGAGCTAAATGTGGTCACTGAACATTGAATAGCTTTTTCTTTAAAGAAATATTCAACTGATTACAAAGATTCAAGCAAAGATAAAGCATCAGAAAATTTCAAGCAACAAGAAAATTATCTTTTGGATTCACTGGAAAGTTAAGTTTTATGAAGAATAAAAAAAAAAATTATCATAGAACAATACCACTACCATGATGAGAAAAAAATTAACATTTCAAAAAAGAATAACAAATTTGTTATGAATTGTAAACTTGTCTCTGCAGCAAATTTTATGTTACTTAGGAGCCTAAATGTCATAAAAAATCACTTTAATAGAGTACTACCAGTATTGTTTAGCTTGGAAGACAATAGAAACTTTAAAAGTTAGGCTGGATAATAGTTCGTCCAAACAGTCAACAACCATTAGTCCAAAATTTTATAATTAAAAAACTTTATTAGACATTTTTCTACATCATAAATTTTTGCACTTATAACATTGTTTTCCAATAAAAACTACTTAAAAAACAGAACAAAAAGAAGTTGATTAAAAGCTATGATAAAAGAAATATATATACACAGAGTGTGAAGTTAATTTTGGTTAATGGTTTGACCCACATTGTAGGCCTTTATGGCAATTAAAAATAAATTCTCTTAATGAAGATGCCTCCTGAATTTTGCACAAGTCCCTAGAGCTAGCCAGGTAGAGGACCTTTCTATACCTGCCTAGGGCTTAAGGGTAAGGTGAGCCTTCCCCTCATTAGGCCAGTCTTAGGGTAGAAGCTCTAGGGTCAGGACATGCTCTTTGTCCAGTCACTGCTTGTGTTTATGTTTGTTCTAGACATGCTCTTTGTCCAGTCTCTACTTGTGTTAATGTTTGTTCTAGTCTTAACCTTACGTTATACAGTCTATAGTATGTTGTTCATATGGTATTTAGTAATTTAAGTAAAGAACTTCACACGTTAAGTATCTCAGTAAGTATTGAAGTTAAGAAAATAGGTGATGCCATAAACATTTGGAAAGCTGTACCATTGGAGATACACATCAAGATAGCTTAAATAAGAAACTTAGTTAAAGACTTCTTGAAATCCATAGTTTCAATTATAAAATCAAGGCACTGAAAACTGTTATGTGAATTAAAATATCCGTTTTTTTATTTGAATGGAAGAATAAAATGCAAAAATGAGACACTGACCAGATCGTACCAAACCAATGTCATTTAGGTAACACTAGTCAGATCAAAGCTTAATCATTGAGTTAGTTCAATGAGAGTAATGGAACAAAGTATAATTCAACATTTTCCACACCCACTTATTTTAATTTAAATTCCATATACTCTGTTTATACAACTTAAATCCCAAGTATATAATAATCTGTTTAGAGTATGATTATCGATATATATATATATATATATATATATATATATATATATATATATATATATAAGTAATATGAACTTCTCGGATGCTAATCAAATTTAGTTAAAAATTAAATATCATATTTAGTGTGGTTATCTCTAGAGCATACATATTCATACAACTTATTCCAAGAATTTCTGTAAACCTTTATGGTCAAGGCAACCTTTTCTTAAATAAGGCAAAATAAGATTAATGTATTTATTAATAAAAATTCGACTAATTAATAAGCTATCTGATAAATACGACATGTTAGTGAATTATGAATAAACTACTGTCAACTGAGATAATTTTGACTAAAAAAAAAAAAAAAATTGCTAGATCTAGACAAAGAAAAGTAATTGTAGCTAATTTATTGCTATCTATAAATAATTTATGACAGTTCAATTTGTTTATTTACAGCTCATAAATTCTTTTTTTACATTAAAGTTTTCCATAAGGACCAGTCAGCTACCCTAGTTGATGGTACTATCAATTAGTTTTCATTTGGTAATTCTCTGAATGGAGGTATATTGGACCATTTATTCTTTTTTCCAGGTGCCTTGGAGGTTTATCAGGAATTCAGTGGGAAAGATCAGAAACTAATAGCTTTGAAGTTTTTAACAAAAGGTTATTATTATGGGGACAAATCAGCAATAAAAGTGATATGGATTCAACTTAAGTCATTTCATTAATTTAAGTTTGTGAATGATATACATATAATTTGGAAAAGGAGAACAGCCAGAATCTACAATAAGCTTTGTTTGAATGGCAAGAGGAATTATGAAGGAAAGAACCCTCTATCAATAAAAATAAAAGTAAAGCAGGAATGGGAAAGTCGATGATGAGGTCAACAACAGGATTAGGAAAGCTAATAGCGATTACTTCCAAATCTGCAACTCCAGTGTTAAGGGGAGTTGGAAGGGACCTGTAATGAGGTATCTCTGAAGAGTGGCGGGAAAAACAAGACAACGTGGCATATAAAACGCCAGAATTAGAGAAGAGTAAGATATAGAGTCACTAGAACAAATACAACTTAGGGAGAAAATTTAGAGAACCCAGAAGCTTAATGAAGCCCAACCAACAAGTAAGAGACCTAAGGATAGAGCCTGCCTGTCTTACAAAGGCCTCATATCCAGGACTATCAAGAGAGAAATTGATAGGAGAGATCAGGACACTCATGAGAGACCTGGATGCCTGGTTGCAATGGCTTGATACATCTTCACACTGGAGAGGAAGGAAAAGAAGAACTGAATTCAGGGGAATTAACAAGCTTTTTTAAAAATAAATAATATGTTTACAGAGAGAGACTAATTGGCGTTAAAGTAGTTTGAAATTATAAGCAGTTTCTAGTCCTTAAAAGTCTTTTAAGATTTTGAATTAAGTCAGTTGTCTAAATGAAATGATAAATTGGAATTCAAAATGGGTAAAAAGAATATTTTGAAAGAACATTGTGGGATAGAATGCTTTATGGTCGAAGTCTAGGCAATTTACTAAATTTAGTAGGATATGTTTTAATGTTAAAGTTTTGACCATTACGAGCATGGGTGTCTGCCCACCGTCGATGACGCGTAAACCTTCCCAAGATATTTTATTTCTCTCTTCTTAAAAACGGTGAATGCGAAAATAGAATTTTAAAAAAACATGAATCACATACAATTACACTTGCTGTGGTCTGTTCTATTTTTCCCCTTTTCCCTGCTTTGAAACTTTTCATTCCAAAAATTCATGAGCCCATAGAAATGTGCTCCCCTCAAATAAAACAGTTTTCACTATTTTGAGCTTAAATTGTTTCAGAACATTCATGGAATCTCACTGAGGATTTTGTGCTGTCAGACTTAAAAGTGTGTTGTACCATTCACTCAAAAAATCGTTAAAGATATCTAGACATATTAAATCAATAACTTTTCAGTAATTTGAGATCAAATTGTTTCACAACATTCTCATGAGATTACATAATCTCACTCAATAATTTATGTTATAAAATTAGATAATCACTTGAGCCGTTTTCTCGAAAATTCGTATGCATAAACAAATTACCCTCCTTTTGGCAAAGCGCATATTTCAATAAAAACCATTTATAACTGAAATATGCAACAAGAGATTCTATTTTGATTAACGTTAAGTTGTATTCTCTTGGCTTCAGTTGCTCTACTCTTAAATTCATACTAAAAATATTTGTTCTACTCAATGCATTAGTTTATAAAGAATGGATTACAATAAATATTTTAATATACTATATAAAAAACTTAAATCATTTTAATTTTTAGTCAACATTACAATAAAAAGATTTGTTTCAAAATACAAAGTTCAATCTTGACTATTTATTATATTTTTATGTTACAATGAATTAAATAAGAAAAAATATATATATATATAAATCAGGAAATAAAATCATTTTAAGCATAGGGTTCATATGACATATCCTTTATAATAACAACAAATCAAATGTTAATTACCATGTTGTCTTCAATGATGATAGAGCTTAGTGTGGAAATACAACATCCAAAAGCTCAGTCTGTGATAGGATACACAACAGATCACCAACTGATCTTTCGGATGCGGTATTCCAAGCCTTCTTCCATTTAGAAAAGTAAAGAGGAGTGAAATAGCAACCTTGAGAAGAAGACACAGCAAGCAAGATATCTTGAAGTTTTTAATAACACTTCCGATAAAGAAAAAATAAATATACTGAATTTGATGAATAAAACAAAACAAACAATAAACCAACTATCACTTACATATAAGTTCCATATAGTTAAAAATAATACGCAGTTCAAATATTACCCATAATATTTGAAAAACATATACACATAGTCAACAATTATTAAAATTGGTGTTTCAAATATAAACCTATATTTTACTGAAAATTGCCATTGTCTATAACTAATTTTGTTTTCTAAAATTTGAATTTGATGTAATGGTAATCTATGTGCTGTTTTGTATGGTAGTGCATACCTACTAAATACATTCCAAGGCAATGCACAGGAAGAAAACTTTCAACAACAATCAATAAATGGTGTTTCTGTTTACATCATATACCCAATAAAAAATAAATTAGAAAAAACTGTAAGTGAAATAAATTAAAATCTCAAAATAAATAACTTTATAATTAAACAGAATTATAGGATTATATGCATATATTATAAAAAAACAAAACAAATTATATACATTCATACATTACTACAAAACAAATCATTTACAAACTATATCTGGTAATAAAATCTTACAAATGTCAACAATGAAATTTTCACTGTCATGTATGATAGCAAACAAAATTCAATTAACAAGCAAAAGTGGGATTATTGAAGCATAAAAAAAAACAAATATTAAAGAATGTGAAGTAGCAAGCTTAAGCAAATACTTTAATTTTAATAAAACCAAACCCAATCATTACCAGAACTATGCTGATCTTCAGTTGTTTGAAACGGGTATGGTTGAAATTCATCTGCGGTGGATAGTAAAGCATTAGAAGCATCTTTTTCCATCTTTACTTTACATTTCTCAGGTGAATTTGCCTAAAATACAAAACATTATAATGGTCAATAATGAAAATCATTCTATAATATTCACATTTAATTTAATAAATTAACACCCAAAAAACTTTGACCCTTAACTAATGAGATTCATAAAAAACAGAGGTAGCAAGAATTTAACTTTTATTTCAAAGCGTATGGTGTACATTCATCCATTGTACTCTTGGCCAATTGAAGGATAGGCTCAACAGCTAACATTACATTAAAAAATAATTTATGAGAAAGGAGACGGCGGTTATAAAGAGGGTAAAATATTGGAAAAACTATTTCATTACAAGTCAATGTCTCGGCCCAACTTTGCAGGACATCCTCAGGAAGGTGTGTTCAGAGAGGAGTTTCAGTTAAAACTGAAAAAATAATTTAAGTAAACATCGACTGGAAAAATACACTGAATCCTTCCTCAGCTTCATATTGAAAACAGTACAGTAGAAAGATGATTGGCATGCTAAACATACCCTCCTGTAATAAAATTTTCCTCTTATCTTAAAAAAAAAAAAAAAAAAAAAAAAAAAATTATATCAGTTATACATAAGTCATTAATGAAAAATACACCCATATAATATTTTATTATTATTATTTATTAATGCATTATATTTACAACTTGTTTTTAGTTCTCTTTTCTAGGGATTGACAATGTACACTTTGATCTTGAATGAATTGCGTTCCAACGTATATTAACAAACTTTTAAATATTTCTTTCCAGTGTTATATGTTGTTAGATGTCATTAACGGATATGTTTGAAATTTCAATAACAGTGAATTAATGTAATTATACCATAATACATTTTAAAACTAGAGGTTGCAAGAATTTAATTGTAATTTTAAAGCTTTTGTTATTTTGTACAAAATAAAATATAAAAAAAAGAAAGACAGTCAACGTTTGAAACAACATTGCTGTCGAGGGATCGAAATTCCTATTAGCTATAAGGTCAACTAATAAATATCCAAATAAAATAATTTATTTTGTAATTGATGAACATAAAAGTTCTATACTTTTTTTTGCTTTATTTTGATTTAACTTCACTTTTTTTGTCTTCCCCATCCTTGCTTTTTAGGCTATATGGAGTTGGATTTCCCAGGTTAAAAGCTCCCTTCTTCCTCCAGAACCAGAACACGAACTTGTAATTATTTTATCTTGCTAGCTCCAGTTTATCAAGGTTGATGATGGTGAAACCTGCTAGAGCATCTTGCCCCCTTAGTATACTTAACCCTTTAGAGATATAACAGTATCTGCTTCGTTGTTACAAGTGTATTACTATATATTCCATTATAACAGTCAAACAGAACAAGATATTACACAATGATCCATACAAAGAGATCGCGTATTGTGTTCTGTGTGCATGAATCTTTAATCTTTACTTCTAGTGTCTAGATTTATTTATTAGATTCTTCAAAATTTTTGTTTGTTTTGCAATATAGCAAACTACTCTTTATTTAAGGGTAAACGAAAAGCTATGAGTCAACCAGATTGTTCCCCCAATAATTGTAATTCTTGTACCTCATAAATTTGTCAAAGCTTTGCAACTTTTACAAAAAGTATTTAACAATTTAACGACCATGCCATTCGAGTAAAAATTTCTCTGCAGACCAAATATTTTTTTTTTCAATAGTTGTAAATATATATATATTTTTTAATTTGGGTTTTCTACAACTTAAGGAGTCATATCCGCAACATCCAAAAGCCACTGCTCTCTGTCCATCCGATCTCCTTCAGGGAGCCCTCTGGCTGCCATGCATTCCTCCACGTCTTCTATCCATTTCTTCTTTGGCCTTCCACACTTCCTTCTTTCAGATGGCAAATAGTTATAAATTTTCTTTGGCCAGCGGTTCTCAGCCATCCGCATTAAGTGGCCATAACACTTTAACCTTTTGTTCCCAATCAGATGAAGAAGTTTTATAATATACTGTTAAAAAAAGAATCATGTATATTTATAGATTCCAAAAATAAATTAATCACTATAATTTTTAAAAAGCGGAGCAGGCATATACGCCCATAGAGATATTAGTTTTTTTTTTATAAATTTATATTTTCGTATTTTTACCCTAGGTAGTTACTTTTCATATTTCGATTATTTTTGAAAATTAAAACAAAAACAAGCTTCTTTGTGGATCTCAATGGCAGGTGTATACGCCCGCCATGGTTTTTTGGGTAAATCAGTGAGAGGGCACATATGCCCGCTATGGTGGTTAAAGTGTTAAAAATTTAACTATCACCAAAAAATCACTTGGTGACTTTTTGCAATAAACCAATGACATGTGTTCAGAATACAGCATGTAGGCTTACTTTTCTTTAAGTATGTTCAATATAAAGCCATTTTCAATGCATAGTTTAATGCAAGCCATTTCTGAGTTACCTCTTATAGGAGTGCAGGCTGTACTATGAAAAATTACTTGAGAAGAGGAATGACAACACCATTGTATTACTAAGCAATAAACCACGTCAATTATTTGTACTGGCCATCAAGAAATAAATATCTCATCTTTCTAACATTAAAAATAATATCAGTGCAATGGATTCATGGTAAAATATGTAAAATGCGTCCATCTGCAGATAGTTAATTCATTGAAAACTTCTATATTGCCTGTTGAGTTGAGTTGATAAGTATCAGACCATAGATTAGGAATGAATCCCTGATATTTAAGTTTAAAATAACTTAAGCAACTGGTATGTGATACAGATAAGATGGGAAACTTCGATAACGGTAAATTATGATAGGCTATTTCATTTGTAACTTTATCATTTTTTAAAAACTTATGGTGCGATATATAAAACCTGATTTCTTTAATAGATTAAGACTTTTCTCCATTTTGTCGATTAGTATGGAACACTCCATTTTATGAAGAAAAATACATATATACTTACAAGAGTAGGATTAAAATCTCTAGAGGTAGAGGGTGTTGATATACTGTCAGAATCACTTCTTTCTTCTTTGGAATTCTTTATATCAGGACATAAGAAAACTTCTATTTCACCTCTTTCCGTTTTAAGGACCATCTCAACCTTTAACAGGATACAATATATAAGATAAATTAAATTCATTCATTTAATAATTAATTTAATTTGGAATAGAAACAATTTGGTTTTACCCTTGAGTTAGAAGTGGGAGTAGGTACTTCGAGATGAGTGTCAGGAGGGGCTTTGATAACCATCACAGTTTGCGTACTATAATTTTTAATGCTCCTCAGGTCTTGATAGCTTACATAAGCATACTGATTGTCTTTCAGCAGTGTTTGTAAATCCATCTCTAAAATAATATTTTCAATTTTTAAATAAATGATACGTAGTAAAACTTCTTAATAACTACCAATATTAATATAATTTGTGTTTCAACTTTGTTTAAATATACTTTAAAATAAAATGAATAAAAAAGGGCTTTTACTATGGATATAAAAAAAAAAAAAAAAAAAAAAAAAAAAAAAAAAAAAAAAAAAAAAAAAAAAACACTCATGAACTAGGCTTTTCCTCTATCATTTTAATTTTAATAAAAATTGTTCAAGAAGTGTTATTCGGTTTGGATGTAACAATTCTATGGGATAAGACAAGAATGATAATGGAAAATTATTAATTGGATACAAACAAAATTTTCAAATGCAAATGGATGGCAGTGGATCAGCTGATGCGAAAGGACGTGTTTCTACATCGTCTCTCAGAATTTACTTATTTTGCAGTGAAATCTTTGATATTATTTATTCAAAACAAGTCAAGAATACATAATAACAATTGATATTTATTTTTTGTTATAAATTATAGGGTAATTTTTATTTTTTTTTTATTTATTTTTTTTTTTTTCATTTTTTTTTCCCTTATATGCGATTCACAATCAGGCCATGTCTAGTAGAGCTTCTATCAAGAGAATTCGGCCGTTAGGCTCAACACCTTGTTCTTCGCCTGTCAAACAAAAGCCTCGTCAATGTCGTCAAACACCTGCAGTAACGCCTATTAGCTCCAGAGAAAATGAAACCCAGCCAGGAACATCATCAAAACCAACAATTGAAGAACTTCAGCATCAACCAGGTACATCTTCACAAGAGATAACCGAACAATCTCCGTTTTTCACCCCTAACCCCTATCAGGTGCTTCAGAATGATAAAGAAGTGATGGAATCCGCTTCAATACCAAGAGATCCCCGACCTCCACCCATATTCGTTAAAAACATAAGCAATTTTCAGTTACTATGCTCACAACTGAACAAAATAACAGGCTCTGGAAGCTATTCATGTCTAAGCAGAACAAAGGACACGAAGATATCACCAGATACAGCTGAAACCTACAGAAAAATTGTGAAGTATCTAACGGAAACCAACGCGGATTTTCATACGTACCAATTACGGCAAGATCGAGCTTTGAGGGTAGTCATAAGAAATCTACACCCCTCAACACCAACCGAAGCAATAGAAGAAGAATTGAAAACTTCAGGTTTCATAGTGCGCCAGATTACAAATGTACAGAAGGAGAGTAAAGAACAGCCAGGAGTAAAAGTTCCTCTACCCTTATTTTTCGTAGATTTGGAGCCAAATCAAGGGATCGAAAAAATATACGAAATAAGAAGAATATACTACACAAGTGTTATAGTAGAGAAGCCATATCCTAAGAGGGAAATCGTACAGTGTCACAATTGCCAGGCATATGGCCATACCAGGACTTACTGCCATCATCTGCCGCGCTGTGTGAAATGTGGAGAGCAGCACAAATCCGGGGAGTGCACAAAACCGAAACGGGATCCTGCAGTTTGTGCATTGTGCCTTGAAGGACATCCAGCGAACTACAAAGGCTGTCAGATCTACAAGAATATTAAATCAAGATATCAAAAATCCCGGACCCAAGAAGAAGCAGAGGCATCAAGAAGAGAACCTAACGCATCAAGAAGAGGACCTTCAAAAAAAATTGACCCAACGGTGTCTTTTGCACACTTATTAGGAGGTAAGAATGATGTTACTTATTGTGAGACCCTGCCGCAACAACAACACATACCTCAAAATTCTCAACCCCACCCTCAACATCCTAATCAAACTTCACCTAATCAACAGTTTTATCAACACCAAATTCCCCGCATTCCTCCTCCCTCAAATACCACAGATCTCACCAGTTTACTTACATCTTTCCTCTCCGAATTCAGATCCCTTGTTACTCCTTTGATATCTCTTCTCACCAATCTTGTATCACATTTTATCCCTCCCGCGAAAAATCCTTAAATGACTTCCAATAAACCTTTATCCATTCTCCTTTGGAATGCGAATGGTGTTAGAAATCACACAAACGAACTAACTACATTATTACTTGACAAAAATATTGACGTGGCACTAATTACTGAAACTCGACTAACCACTAAACAGCACTTCAAAATACCACAATACCTGACATATCGTACTGACCACCCTGACGGAAAAGCACATGCCGGTACTGCTGTCATTGTACACCAATCCCTCTCCCATCACCTACTCCCGTTACCTACACATGATTTCCTACAGTCCACCGCTATCGTGATAAAAACCTTTTCCTTTCCGGTTACCCTTGCATCAGCGTATTGCCCTCCTAACCGATCCATATCCAATGCCCAATTCCGTTCTCTCCTCGACTCCTTAGGACATCACTTCATCTTGGGTGCAGACCTAAATGCCAAACATCAACAATGGGGTTCCAGAACCACGAATACTCGTGGCCGAACCCTGCTGTCTGCACTCAATTCCCAACATTTTCATCTCCTTTCCCCCAACTCTCCTACCTACTGGCCTACAGATCCCAACCGTAATCCTGATCTTCTTGATTTCTTTATCCACAGCGGCTTAAGTCCCCTCAATTGTTCCATTACACGTCTAAATGAACTTTCCTCTGACCATAGTCCTCTAATCCTTAATGTTTCACTTGAACCCGTTCCCAAACCTTCTCCACCGTCATTTATTAGGGGCCCAGTTAACTGGGACCTTTTCCGCCAAATCATCTCCGATAAAATTGATCTTAACATATCCCTCAAAACTCCCGATGACCTTGATAGTGCCGTAAATTCCTTTACTACCACAATCCAACAAGCCGCCTGGACTGCTTCCTTCCCAAAAGACTCCTCCAGAATTCCTAAAAAGACCATTCTACCCCAACACCTCCTTGACCTAATCCAAACCAAACGCCGTGCCAGATTATTGTGGCAACGTACCCGACATCCTACCGACCGCTGCTCCTATAATTATTACTGCAAAAAATTAAAACTGGAATTAGCCACCTTCAGATCACATTCCTTCAACTCCTACCTATCCTCCCTTTCTTCTCGCGACAATTCCCTTTGGAAAACCACTACCAAAATCTTAAATCCTCACCGCATTTCCCATCCCCTCCGACGAGATGATGGCTCCTGGGCAGCATCTGACGAAGATAAGGCTGAGGAGTTCGCCATTCACCTATCCAATACATTTATTTCACATCCGGAATCCCATCCTGCCCACACCGTAACAGTAGAAGAATTCCTTACATCACCAATCCCACTTTCCTTGCCCCCAAAAGCTATTCATCCTTCCGAAGTGAAATTTCAATTAAAAAAATTAATCCCCCGTAAAGCTCCTGGACATGATCTCCTTACCCCTCAAATCCTTCGACAACTTCCATCCAAAGCAGTCATATTCCTTACATATATCTACAACTGTATCCTACGCACCACCCACTTTCCTCTGCTATGGAAACACTCCACTATTATCCTTTTCCAAAAACCAGGCAAACCTCCCAATATCTCAACATCCTATAGACCAATTAGCCTACTCCCAATCCTTTCAAAAATTTTTGAAAAGATCCTTTTGAAACGAATCCTACCCATTATAGAATCCCAAAATATTCCTTCCCATCAGTTTGGTTTTCGCTCCCAACATTCCACTGTTCAACAAGGACTCCGAGTTGTTGATCATATTTCCTCAGCCCTAGAAAACAAGGAATACTGTTCGGGTGCATTTCTGGACATTGCACAGGCATTTGACCGGGTATGGCACTCCGGACTGCTCTTCAAGCTTAAAATCCATTTACCTCAGTCCTTGTACCTAGTCCTCCGATCCTACCTCTCTGACCGCTCCTTCCGAGTTCGCTGTGGAACAGAATTTTCCAATATCTACTCCGTTAAAGCCGGTGTTCCCCAAGGCAGCGTCTTGGGTCCCGTGCTTTACATCCTCTTTACTGCTGACATCCCTGTTCATCCCGATACTTTTCTTGCAACATTCGCTGACGACACCGCAATCTTATCATCCAACTCTGATCCCAACATAGCATCCTTAAATCTCCAAAACCACCTCACCTTGATTGAGCACTGGTGTAATAACTGGCGCATTAAAGTTAATGAATCTAAATGCCAACATATTACCTTTACACTCCGACGCAGTTCCTGTCCACCAGTACACTTTAATTCCATCCAGCTTCCTTACTCAGACACAGTCCGGTATCTTGGCTTTCATTTAGACCGAAGACTAACGTGGAACCCACATACTAGACTCAAAAGACAAGAACTCAACCGACGATACGGCCAGCTATACAGACTACTAAACAGAAAATCCAAACTTTCTATTGAAAACAAATTACTTATCTACAAGACAATACTGAAACCTATATGGACATACGGACTTGAACTGTGGGGGACAGCAAAAGCTTCTAACATCAAACGTATTCAATCCTTTCAATCTAAAGTCCTTCGAACAATAGTTGATGCTCCGTTCTATGTAAATAACAAAATCCTACACCATGACCTTAATATCCCATTTGTCCTAGACCTTATTCCAGAAAAATTCTCCAAATTTCACCAAAACCTTACCTATCATCCAAATCCCCTTGCACAATCTCTATCCAGCACCACCCATCCTTACAATCCTCCTCGAAGGTTGAAGCGGCAGTGGCCCAGAGACCTTTTGTAAATAAGCATCTATTGGAGTTTTGGCAATGGCCAGATCCTCCACTCAAGCCCGAGTGTGTATGATTAGGTTAGTTCTTTTGTTTATATACATTTATTTTATTTTATTGTATTTATTTTTATTTTATTTTATTATTTATTATTATATTAAGTTTCTGTATTATTTATTTATTTTTTTTTTTTATTGTAAATAGAGTGTGAGTGTGCTTTCTCTGATCACTATTATAAATGTCCTTGATGTGACAGAATGTAATAATTCTAAATAAACAAATAATAAAGAAAAATGCAAATATATCAAACCTGCTTTTTTAAGAAGATCGTCCAAATCTTTCTCTTCTTGCTCTAATTTTTCTATTTCATTTTGAACATCGGTATGAGGTTCGGTGAAACTCCCTCCCCTGTGTGGAAAAAAGTAAATTAAATTTTGAAGCTTGTAATAAATAACAAACAAATAAATATTTTAAGAACATGAATAGATACATTAGCTTTATATAATGCAATAATGAAATAATTACCTCCATTGTATATTATTTTTGGAACGCTTCTCAAGTATACCTACACCTTCTAGAACATTTGTAATATCATATATCCGCCGCTTCTGAACATCTAAATGTTGAGAAGCATAATTTAAGTCAACAATGCCTCTAGGAGACCTTTGTAACAAATTAACAAATTTTTTTGTGAGAAGACCTAAAGAAGTATCATAACGAGTTGGACCTGGACAAAAAAAAAAAAAAAAAAAAATAATTTGATTACGTTATATTTGTAATGGATACCTCCTGAAAAACATTACTCCTGAAGCTCAAAAGAACTTCTAAATATTTACTTTATTTATTCAGGCAATAGTTTGGTGAGTTACTTTAATTTATTATTTAAACATTACACAACATTGTTTTAGTACAAACAATATGCACAGCATATCTTGCCTAAATAAAATATTAAAATTAAATGAAGACTGCAATTTTTTTTTTTTAAATATGTATACACAAATATTGTTGCTTTACTACTGAAGACAGAGAAGCTTGGCATTCTTACAGGAGGTAAAAAAGAAAACATTTGTTCTCAAAATCAAAATGTGACAAAAATAAAGTAATAGAAATCAGTTATATATGCTTAATTGCATGTGTGATCTAAAGGGCAGTCGACATAAAATTAAAAAACATCTTTGATTTCTTCGATCAGGTTTTTTTTTTAAATGACGAACCATTATGTGCCTATACACAGGAAACTTTCTGCTAACTCAAGAGTGCTAATAAAAAAAATAAATATAACTAAAAATGTGACCTACAAGACATGGGAATTCCTTATGTACCATTGATACTCCTTCAGTAAACAATATCAGCTCATTTTTATTGATTACAATATTGTATTCACTGAAGCATAATAAAATAATGTAATTGTGAATTAAAGAACATTTGGAAGATAGTGAATAATTGAAAAAGTAACAAAAATAATGGTGACTTATTTTTCAAACTAGATGTGCCCAAAGTATTATAAAGAATTAACATATAAAAGTATTAATTTAAATACAGTTTCTAGCTCAGCATGTCTAACCCAATATATCACTTTTCCGTCATAGGTTCAAATAATTTTAGTTCCATCTTTTTCAAAAGCATTAACATTATTGTATAAAGAAAGGCTGTATTTTTCACCACATTTATTTACATTTCTCCTCCACAGTGGCTTTGTTTCGGCTTTGATGCCATTTGGTTAATACTGCTCTTTCTGTTCAGTCCAAACTTTATTAAATTTTGTGAGATATACTTTGGAAAATGGGTGTTATACAGCCCCCTAGCCAGTCAAATATTTTCATGATATACACAAAAACATAAGTTTTTGGATTATGTGCAAGAAGACAAATTTTCTGTCAAAATGCACAAAATTTGGATGGACTAATTTCCTCTTCTAGATATGCCTTTTTAAACAAACGTGTTTGACCGAATTCTTTATGTAATTTCTGTTTATTGCTCTCACTTATTATTATAATGTAGTTAGTTATTCAAACCAAAGTAGGCATAAACACCTCATATCTTGGCTTCAGCCTGAAATATTTTTTTTTCAAATATAACGATAATTACTTTGGAAAAAAAAGAAGAAAGAAACTAACTACTTATGCGTGAAATGGTGTTCAAGTGATTCTTGAAGTCCGGTTAAATGTAATTACATGAACAATAAAACTTTTAGAGATGATTTTAAAATATTTTTTCCTTAAGACATGGTAATATTTTACCATTTTGGGCGAGAGGAGGGCTTCAGCACAAAAGGAGCCCCCTCTCCCCGTAGATCCACCTATGGATGACTGTATTGACGACCAACAATACCAACTCTAAAAATGACATAATAAATTCCTTAAATTAGAATAAGGAACTGAATCAAGAATGAATTATTTGATAAGTAATACTAAATAAAATAGTTTCCAAGAATAAAAAACAAAAACAAACCTCTAGGTGTTCTCACTAAAGAATTATTCTTTTTCCTTGATTTTGGTGTTTTGAAACCCATTTCTTCGTCACCCGATGTCTCCATATTTAACTTTCTTTTGACAGCCTAGAATATACAAATTTATAATTACAATGAGAAAATAAAGAATTAAATATTTATTTATAAAAAAAAAAAACACCGATATTTCTGAATTTATAAAAACAAGACAAATGTGTAGGCATACATTTTTTAAAAGATAATCATTACCAAATAAATTGATTGTTTATGGCAGAAAGAAACAAATAAAATAATCAAGAGACAATTGACAACAGTTAATAAATAAATGTTTGAATTCCAGATTAATATTTATGGATTTTTTTAATATATTTTTTTTTGTTGCATACATTATATATAATGATCTCAGGTTTTAGTGCTGAATTTAATATTTGAAAGAGGTTGAAGAGAAAATTATCCCTTGGGTCCTTATTAGTTTCTCTCCATGACTCTGTTTGATAGCAATACCACAAAATAAAAGAAAGTGCTGTATTATCAAGTATTAAATGTGGTTTTATTTGTTTTCAACTTCATGTTAAAAATATTTACTTAACAAGAAATTAAGGATGAAAAGAATTGTCAGGAATTTCAGTCGATAGTTTTATTGGGTCAGCCGATGTTCTGACCTACATATAGTTGGGTCAAAAAGTTGGCTAACCAGAAGGTTCGATGCCGACACCATCAATCGCTTATTACACACCTCCCTCCACCGTTCGCCGTCCAAACCCAGTCCCTTCAGATCAGCTTTAATGCAATCTTCCCACCTTCGCTTCAGTCTACCCCTCGGACGCTTACCATTCAGCACAGCAAATATTAACCTTTTAGGAATTCTCTCGTTACTAAGTCCAACAACTTTACAAGTCCACTTGATTCGCCGCGATGAAAGTATCTCAATTATATTACTCGGATACAGTTCATGCAATTCGGCGTTGTGTAACCGTCTGAACTCTCCGGTTAACTCATCCTTCTTCGGTCCGAATATTCTACGCAATACCTTATTTTCAAAAACCTTAAGACGCTGCTCATCCCTTAATGTAAGCGGCCAAGTTTCGCACCCATAAAGAACTGTAGGCAAGATAATTGTTTTATAGATTCTAATTTTTAAGTTTTGGGACGAAAGGCGCGAACTAAGTAACCCAATAAAAATATCGACTGAAATTCCTGACCATTTTCTTCGTCCTTATAGTTGATCAGATGACTAATTACCCATATTTAACAAGAAATTAGCTACCTTACATCAGCAAATATAATTTTAAACCTAATTTCACACTTCGACACATTTTAAAATTGCACCGATCTTTTTTTTTTTAGAATTGAAAGTAGTTCTTTTATCTGAGGAAGTCGCAGAGACTACAAATCACCCTTTAATGTTTATTTCTAGTACGATTGATTAATAATGTAATTAAATCAAGACTAAGTTTGAGAAAAGTAAATTAATACAAAGCTTAGCTGATGAGCATGGAACATTATGATTGCAGCGATTATACAAATGATAAAGCGGATCAGGATCTTAGCTGGTTCAAATCTTTCATTTTTGTTACTTTAATTACCATGATTAGTATGAAGCTCAGGCAGAACGATTGAGTTTCTATAATACTTAATTATCAGATGAGATTTGAAACTTCACATAAGTTCTTTTCGATGGTTAAATGTATTTTATTTTTATGTCAGAAGAAACATCAGGCATTTCAAACACGGGAATGAACAGCATTGACCAGGAAACTTCTTATTAATATATAATGTTTTTTATATTCTATTAACTATACTATAGAGCTTTGTAGATCATCAAGAAACATTTTGACCATTACTAAATCTAAAGGAATAGTAGCAAGTCTCTTTAAGTTCAAATTGAAAACAAATTTATAAATAATATTTCATAAAATCTGCTGTCTTGCAATAAACTAGGTTGCAAGTGCTTCTTGACCTTTTTTAAACTCACTTAACTTTTTGATGAAGCATTTTTTTCACATTAAATGTTGAACTACTTACTTTGTCTATCTTGTCTTGTTTAATTCATATAGAAGTCTTACATCTAATTCTTTCAAATCTTCTCTTAACTTTTATCAATAATAATTGTTGAATTAATGCTGAACAAAAAAAATTTGTATTTATTTTAGGTTATAAATATCAGATAGTGCACAGGCAGGATTTAAACAACATAAGAGGCATCTCAAGACACCCTCAGACGTAAACCACAGCATATGAAGAAAGATTACCACTGGAGATAACCACTTATGTAGTAGACAACTTTAAAGCAATTCATAACGGTTGGGCAATCATTGCTGATCCACAAATTCATGGCTACTTTAGTTTTTTTTTCCTTCCTAATTTAAGAATTTCTGTTGGGAGATGCTTAGTAACTAGGGCAGTGAATTAGCTGCAGTGAGTAAAACTCCTCTAAATCTGAGGAATGGAGCCTTCAAGGAAATATGTATTTCTCAAAATATTTCTGACCTCCATACACAACTGGTAAAATTTAGCTAAACTCATAATGACAGAACTATAATATGTCAAAAACGGATAGATGATTTAGCTAATATGGGATGACTGAGGTATATTTCAAGGAATACAGAGATTGTTAGGAATCGACAGGCTCATGAGCTGCGAAAGAAAGGGTCAGCCCTGCCTTCCTCCTTGCAAAACATGTAATGATTCACATACAAAGGATTGGACAAGGCACTGCCATAAGACTTGTTCCACCGGCAAAAAGTGGGAAAATCTTGTCAGAAGCTTCAATCCCTCAAAATGTACTTAGGGCCATTGGTGTATTTGATTAACTAGTGTCGTCTTTTCCGCTAAGATAATAATGATGCAGACATTTGCTACATTTCTGTATGGTTTTATAAGTGGCCCCTAGAGATGAAAAAAATACCTGTCAGGACATCCAATATTTACTGGACTGGGGGCAGCATGCACCAAATGTTAATACCAGCCTAGGAGCATTGTTACCTTGGTGGTTCCTCCATCTCTTTCCAAACCATTATAACCCAGTCATCAACATATGCCTGGAGCAAATTGCTCCAACTCCTCTATGGTAGTTATGTCACTGGTGAAGCTAAAGTAGGTGTCGGATAAAAAGAAAAATGTATATATAACTCAAAATGATACCAGTATTTCTTTTTAACACCTCATGGGTGTGCCACGTAGTCATACCTTATTTATAGTTATAATTCTATATTATCAAATATAGTATTACAAAATAAAAACCTATACAAAACAATTGATTAGACAGATTGTTGGTACGATCAAAATAATAGCGATGCCCTGAATTAAATCCAGTTCCAGCATAAATTCACCAGCACAAAGGTTAATATAACACATAAAGAGAGAGAAATAATGACTGAATATTTCTGTAGCTAACTTTTTTTGATTTTCTTAATAACACAATGAATATATTAGGTATGTAAGAAAATCTGAACAGTGGCCTAGTAAGCAGCCAACTCTATTTTAATTTTTTTAAATAGTTCTGGTACTAGATTGTCCTAAAGAAAAACAACTTCTTTTGAAATTGTTTTTTATTCATGCAAAGTGATATAGATACAAATTAATATGCAATGCATTTTGGTTTAAGTAAAAAAAAAAATTCAACCAAAAGCTATGCTGAAATTAATATCCACAGCCCATTTCCTAAAACAATGGCATAGATCTGTATCAAGTGAACTGTTAAGAACAAGTTTTATGTACATATGTATTCCATAAAATATTTTGCTTTTTAAGTACTTCCACTGAAGATTCACGAGAAACTTTTTTAATTCTCATAAATTAATTTTTTTTTTTTTGGCATTTAGATCATTTAGTGTAGAAACATACACATATTTATTGAATTAATTTTAAACATGTAGCAATGTTGTTCAATAATACATGTTTAACCACAAATTAAGGTTTAACAGTATTAATAAAACTTAATATATTAACAGAATATTTATAATCATAGTTCGGTTATTTTGTGAGTGATGAGTTTAAAATACAGAAGGGAAAAAATAAAAACTATTTATCATAAAAAATAATGCAACTATAACCTTTTAACATATTACAAAAAACTGACATAAGGAGACAATGCTTACTATTCCTAGGAACCTATAAGAACCCCCGTGGTTAATAACGAATAAAAATGGCAAATATAGCACTCGTCCCATTAGAAAATAGAAAAAAGTTAAATAAAATTTGAACAAAAAATGGAAAGACAATGGACACAGCCAAAAAACACTTTTTACCAACAAATAAAATAACAGAAAAAATTAAAAAAAAAAAAAAAAAAAAGATTGCTTCAGGCCATATCAATAAAAATATTCAACTTACCCAGGTGTTCAAAGGTCAAGGTAAAAACAGATGTGCAGCAGTTCAAGATAGACGATAACCCTAGCTCCTCAAGTGTCACCACACCACAGACCTGGGACCATTTAATAAATGACTGCAGGGTTCAACAAAAACAGTTTTATATTTTATTTTAGTCTAAATCAAGGAACAATAACCCAGGAGTATGAGTATATTCTGGCCAGACAATAGCTGCTGTTTTTTTATATCTCCATCTTTTAATTAAAAGCAAAGACATAACTAAGATGAGAGGCAATAATAACAACAACACTCTTGGTCACAAAACTTCTAAGACAGACAATATCCAATAAAAATAAATAATAATAATGATAGATAAATGTAAAAACGAAACAAACTAAAAAAAAGTCAAGTGCCAAGTGCTGTATTTATATCAATGTGTTTTTTGAACTTCAAAGCAAACAATATACAACGCTGCAAAAGATACAAACTCACCACTTAAATTAATCATAAGTATTTTTTAAAAAAGAATTTCTAATAGATCTTCAGTCATAATAAATCATTAACACAGTTTTCATTTTTTTTAATAGATGTGATGCAAGTGTTATGGGGAGAAATTTATTCAATTTATACCAATCTAGTACCAAAACAGTTAATTAATAATAAATATGACGGCTCGTTTTGGAAATGAATGCTTAAAATAAATATTCTGGATATATATATATTTTTTAACTGACCTTAATTACTAAAACCTAACTTTGTTTAGAAATTAAAATATATATATTTTTAAAGCCTTAATTCTTAATTCTAAAACTACACACTAAGTGTTAATTAGTACTGACATTCAAACTGAAATTTTATTAAATATGGTATCATAAAACCCATCATTGTGTGCCAGAAAATCACTCAAGGAAGCTATAAGTGGTGCATTGATTCTTATCTTATATATATATTATTTTAATTCAACAAACAGATTTATAATTTAAAATAATAAGTTTTGTTATTATTTTTTTCAAACTATTAGTAATATATTATCATTAATTGATTTGAACTATTAATTCAGATTTTATTACAAGACTGCAACAAAACCACAAGGATGATAATGTGTTCAGTCTGAGTAGTTGTTTACGGTTATTAAAGTTTAGTTATTTAAAGTTACCTTTCTAAGTATATATCTTTGGTAAAATTTACATACTTTTGAAAGTCAATTAAATTACCTATAAAACAAATTAAAATTCATCAGAATCGAACCAGTATTAGCGATGATCCAGCGTATTCTATTTTTTACATATGTTTTAATATATTACTTTCCTACCTATACTAGGTAAGGAAAGTATTGCGACCAGGTCAAATTTCAGATGTGCAGTTTTAGACGGATCTATAAGTTTCAAAGCCCTCTGAGTCCGAAAAACATATCTATTAATGGAGTTACAGCTATTCAATTTCGGATGTAAGATTATGAGTTCAAATCCTAGTGCCAGAAAGGCGTGAAACAAGAGAAAAAAGAAATGTAAAAAAATCTGGTGCACGTGTCACACAAGTTTCACTAATTCCTCTACTTTTAACAGAAATTATTGTCTGATAAAATTGGGCTATGGAAAAAAAAAAGAGTTTTTGATTGGCAATATTTGAGTGTATCGATTTTTTTTTACACTGATCTTCCACAAGCCGGTTTACATTGCTTTTGTTCATCAAAGAAGTTGTAGCAAATCTTTTCTTTGATCAATTTTCAGGAAAATAAATCTAATTTAACTTTTTTTTTTTGCTTTGTTTTTTAATTGACATATATTAAGATATAAAAAGTTTTCTGAAATCAGTAGGAAAGTTGTGTGAGTGGACACACCAGATTTTTTGGAATGTAGTTACTTTTGGAACTAACGCGAAATTCTAATTTAATGGCTCAAAATTATTCAGTGAGATCGTGCGAATGTTTTTTAAAACTCTAATCTCAAAATATTGACATTTTATTGTATAAAATGTGTATACAATCTGTTTACTAGAACAGTTGCATGTGAGGTCTCTAAATAAATAACCAACTATATTACTGGTTAAAATAATGCAATTTTGTTTCAATTATATCTTGCATGATGATTCATTCTTTTTTATGGGAGCATATTTAATTTTTTCTTTTGAATTTTTCCAATCGAGTAGTTTTAGAAACAGAAACTCAATGTTCCCTCTAAAATACACTTGTGTTCAAAATTAATATATTACTTAGAAATTCTGTTCACTTAAGTAATTAAGAATACTTGAAGTATAGGATTTTAAGTATTCCAATATCATCAAAAATAAAATTATTTATGAAAAACATTATTTAATATTAATTTTTAATTAATTAAATATTAAAATTTACGAACAATGCTAAAATGTCTGTTAAAATTAACTTAGTAGCTCATACTACTTCCCCTTACAGGAATTAATACACTAGGGGTATTCATGCACTTGTTGTAAATGCTTAATGTGCTATCATGCTAAGCAGTCAGCACAAATTTTAAATCAATGGTAAATAACCTGTCTGAGCTAACCTGCTAAAGTTTTATTAGTTATAGTAAAGATATGCCTGTACTATAAAATAAGTTTGAGTTTTTAATTGATCTACTAACTTTTTGATTTATTTTTAAAATGTCAATGCGAAGTGAAAAGACTGAGTTGCTGCATTATTTAATTAAAATGCTTTATTAGAAAGTATGAATGAAGATTCAGATGGAGAAGGCAAAGAACTTGATGAATACATAGATGAAATCCTAGCCTAGAAATCCTGTCTTTATATTCCATTTCTGTGGATATTGAAAACAAACAAAGAAAAAAGCAACACTTAACAGGACCCTAGGCTGTATTAAGTGCCTGAAATATGAGTGCTAGCGGCCATAATTAACACAATTTTTTTTTCTCCAAATTTTTCGACTTTACACATTTAAGAGATTTACAATACTTAGCACTGGTTGCAAGAATACCCCCACTGTATTCTCCAATTATTCAACAACAACTGTTTCAAACTATCAGTGTTCTAAGACTGGAGTTCCAATATCCCACATGGTCCTTCCTTAGACAAACATGCTCTTTCCAATATTAAGCTCTAGATTTTTTATTGGCATTTCCAGAAATATCGAACTAATCTCCTAGAAGTAATTAACTACACATTAAGTTCTTGGCGTTAGTGTATTGTCATGATTAAGCATGGACCAGTTTATATTAAGGATCCATGTAACCTCTATGTTGTGTAAGGAACAAAGGGCACTTGGTAATATTCCTTTGAATATTCCAAAAACCCCTGGGCACTTAAGGATGTTCTGTTAGAACTACTAATTCCCCGTATAGATGTCAGAAGAAATATCTACACATTTAAGCTTCCCAGGAATGTATCTAATAGATCATACAACATTAAGCATAATGTTCAATTAGACGTCTAAAAATGAAAACAAGGCCATGAAATAACCAGCACCTGGATGTTAATGTAGAGAACCTGCGCCATTGAATTGATTGTAACACAATATCAATTAATGCGCCTTTAGGGCATAACAAGTTGGGACACCAGGGTGACATCCACAACTTGTAGGGAATTCATAAAAAATTGACTAAGCGTATGAGAATTATTAGTTTTAGCCTAGTGGTAGAATATTTTCGTAGTTGGATATTTTTAGGCCATATTCTGCAGGATTTTACTACGTAATCAGATGACACATGGGGAAAATATGGGCATTCCTTGTAATGATATAAGCTCCTTTCTTATGTTACTGGAGGCATAGGTGCCAGCGCATCAGGGGAACAAGGGGTAAAGCATTTTCTGACCCTCCAATATGTTATTATAGGGCTGGCCCATCCAGTATTTTGCAATATTTAACTTTTCTTAAAAATAATGCTAAATATTCAATAAACTGTTTTAAGTATTAATTATATTATAGGTAATAAACTGATGACTGAACTACTTCATTTATGAGTCGCGTGCAATCCCCCTTTTCTCTACATGAATTGAATACTGTTGGAGCAAATGATTGGAGGTGTAGTTTTTAAAAAAAATTGAAGTAGAGTTTTATAATTTATTGGACAAGAGTCAAATATTTGTTGAGTTATTATCACAAAATAAAAAGCTTCACTGAAACTGGTGTTTTTCATTTAAATCTTTATTAATATATTTTAAGTTTTTGAATCTTTAAGGAAGCTTCAATGCGACTTAATGGGGTTACAGTCAGCAATAGCAGTTCGAAATTTGCACATTACTAATATAAACTGTTTCAATTCAGGACTCTCAAGAAATACTGGATATTGAAAGTAGATAAAAAACAATCCACATTGCAACCCCTATTCTTCCCACCCCAACCAGCTCATCAACTAAGCATTCAACTACTCAGCCGGCAGATATCTGAGCAGTGTTTAGTCTCTTTTTGAAAGATTCTGTGAGTCCCAGGCAAGGGATAAGAGGCCCATAACCTCAATTATCAGATTATTAGTTCATCCTTCTAGTTAAAAACAAAAGGTTCATTTGGGCATAGTATTACAGACAGAAAAAACCCAATTAACACAATATCAATTTAATTGAAACCAGATGAGGTTTGCCACACAACAAAAATTTTATAAATAAAAAGAAGATAAATAATATTCACAGATGATAACTTTACTTGTATCTATTATTATGGTACTGTTTATGTAACACTAACATATTTTAGATTAGTTTAATGGATTTAGAATTTAAATAAAACAAAGCTGTATTATTGAAAACAAAAATTTATTAACCTGCGTGCGAGCGTTGGACATTTGTCTTTGTGGTTGGCTTTGAGGAGTTCTGCCGTAGCCATGATCGAGAAGATGGAAAGGTGATGTCACCACAGCGTTGTCTATCATTTCTATTTTGCATGGTGATGCTAAACAGAATTAACTGTGTTTACTTAATTATCTCAAAACTTTTTTGAGGGAAATTCATTTCTGTTTGCTACATAGAATCATTAGTGAAGAACAATAAAAATTTAATCAAAGTTCTTTTAATAAAAAGTTAGAACTAAAAAAAGATTTTAATGATGTTAAGTTAGGAAAGTCATTATTTACTTAAAATACATCCAAAAAACTACAGAATGAAGTGGAATGTTTTATGGATTGTTAAAAAAATCTTATGTAGCATCAAGAAAGTTTTTTTATGTTACAATGTTGTTATCCTTAAAATATTAGTTAATAAAGAATACCTTAAAAACAAACTTTTAATGAAATTATTTGTAGAAAAGAATTTTCAAACTATCAATAATTCATCAAATACGAAGGGAAAACTATATTACATTTACAAGTTTGGTAGGATAGCAAGAGCTGGATTATACTGTACAAACAACAAGAACTTCAGTAAATCAATTGGACGTAAAACAAAACAAGCAGGAAGTTAAGTAATATTAAGCGGAGGAAAGGAAATAAATAATGTTGCCTGTGGCTAGTTGAACAAGAAATTAGGGGAAAAAAAATTATGCTAACTGCTCATGAAGTGTAAGTTTGTTAATTCCAAGAAGTAGAGGTTGTGATGGCGGAGTTTATTAAAGAGCAATCTTTAAAATTCTTGAGCCTAACGATGACGGTTCTAATACAGTCTGGGTGGGTTAAAATTTATTTTGTGGAGGACCACATAATGAATATTGACCTTCCCACCATGGTTAGAATATGTTTGGTAGTACCTCTAGATCAACCCCTGTATGCCAGAAATGGCGAGGTAGGGTATCAAGAAAAAAAAGAGAGGTTAATATCAAGTAAAGGCAGAAAGTGCTAACAGTCCTTAGATCTCTTACTAAATCTGATTAAAATCAACCCTATTGTAAAATTAATGTGGAACCCTTATTTGATTGGGACCATTGAAAACTTCACCAAAATCAGAACAATAATAGTGTCAGCCCATCACGTGGATTTGCTTGCTTACAGATGGACAAACAAGGAACCAAATTTGTTTCTTGAGGATTAAACACAACACAACTTGAAATTTTCAATGTTAAATACAAAAAGTTATTTTCACTAGTGAAGAACCGAAAATTACTAGTCGGGATGAAGATGAAAATTACCACCTTACACATCACATTGCTCCATTGAAAGAGATAATCTGTACCATATGTACTTACTTCCATTTGGCTAAACTCTCTTTCCTTCTTTGAACTGCCAAAATTAGCTAACTCGTACTTAAAATTAAACAAAGATATTAAAGTTGAGAAGTCACGACTTTCATAGAATTTATTTTGTAAATCCTGACCATACAAAACCCGTAAAATATTCTCGAATTTCCAGATTGGTGAACCTCCTGATTCGTTAGCTCAGAGTGCACAGTTCTGAACGTGGTACCAGTTCCCACATTGGTCAGTCAATATTCATTTCTGGGCAGAACTAAGAAATGAATCTTCATACTCCCTCTGGTAAGCACACGGAGATAATCTCAAGGTAGCCGTCAGGGGCTGGCAAAAAGGACCACAAGGCCCACTTACTTGAGTTTCCTCTCAGTACAAGTGCATAGACATTTCTTCTTTACATATAAGTGGAAAATTGATAGTTAAGGAAATGGAAAAAATAGATAGTATTTGAATGAGCTTTATGAATGGAGTAAGTGGTATTCCAATAAAAGGTGACTCAAATAATAAAGAACTTTTTGAAAGAAGCTATTCTGTGAGAAGGGATATACAAGTTGAAAGAATGAGATCTCTTATTTAAGGGTTGAAGAAGAATGGAGGGTGAGGTCAAGAATATAGGATGTTTATTTGTACACAAGCGTTAGGATAGCACCAAAGAGTATTGTCTTCAGACATTAGGAAATAACCAATATTTCTCGGAATAACAGTGAGAGATGTGAGAGCATCTGGGATCACCAAAAATAAATCTTGTGAAATAATTCATTAATATTTTCAGTCTCATCTCATACTCACCAGATAGTCCTGTATACATTAGGTATCTGTAGTCAAACTGAAGGGAATGAGGGAGAAAATTAGGAGTACTTTGGGAAGGGTGTGGATGGGTATTCCACTTTAGGCTTTGATCAAAGGTAACTCCAAGTTTTTTTTTTTTTTTTTTTTTTTTTTTATATATACAAAATTATGGAACAGAATATGAATGGTATTGAAATATAGTAATAATAATAGGAAAGAATTTTAAAGGAAGTTAATGAACCAATTAGAATTGCCTTAGTTTTTACTAGTTTCAGGCTGAACTTCCAATTTTCCAAGGCCCAGTAGTTAATATTATTAATGCAAGCCAAAAGAATTATCATTTATAAGTCATCAGCTCATAAATGAAACTGGGAATGATGAACAGTGTTAATTAGGTCATTTATATAGATGGAAAATAATTTTGGTGAGAGAGAAGATCCCGAACCATACCTTGTCCTAGTCGTAGAGGCAGTGATTATGAGAGAGGTTATGTGTCGTTACAAATAAAGTTGATTTAGGAGCAATGAGATAGGAAGAGTAGAACTATTTTACAGCACTATTAGATATGGAAATATGATGTCAGGAGTGAAGAATCGCATGATTAACAGTGAAAAGCTTTTGATAAATATTCCTATTTTTCCAGACAATAGGAAAAGGGAAGTTTTGAAAGAAAAATTATAAAAGTAAAGTAGGATTAGGTGTAAGGCTGGAAAATAGAGTTTAATCATTTTTTAACAGAATTTGGTCTTGACCCATTCATTCATTGAGAAAATAATTTTTTAACTTCGGAAGCAATCAAGTCATCAGAGTAATTACTTTAATCAAGTATATTTTTAGCAACAGATTCCTATTAAAGAAAAAAAATTATACACAGAACTACCTGCTTTTCAGTGTGAAATCAGACCGTGGTTTATATGAAAATTGCACTTGAAGTCTATTAATACCTCTAAATATTTACTATTAATTATAAGACACCCTTCATAGTAAGTACCTATGTACACATAACTTGTTAATTTGTCAGTTGTATGCGTAGAACATTCTCTTTATACATATATGTATATGTATATTAGCTTATGTAGAGTTAGAGCAGTGGAATAAGGAAAGTTAAAACTTTCTAAAAAATCATGAAATTTACACATAAAGTTTGAATGATTTAAGACGATATAGTAAAAAACTTAATGTTACTTAATGGAAATTTAATGTTTTACAACTTTTTCGAATGGAAAAGGTCTGAAGTTATAATATAGTCCTGGTTAGTTTGTCAAATAAGACAAAACAATATAAGAATATATATATATTTTTTTAAATTGGTGAATTTTAAAGTAAGAAATCTCAGAAATTATGCAATATAGCAAAGAAATGAATAGAATTAATCTTGTAACACATTTTTTTAAAGATCTACCTAATCATTAAGATGAATAGATACTTATGATATAAGCTAAAAATCAAAATACGAGAAGTTTTGAGGGAATCCCCTCAGCCTGCTCACCACCAATGAACAGTCTTTTAGTATGTTTACCTCATAACTAATGCAAAGTCCCAAAATTATGTTCCTTTCATTTCCTTCTATACCCACGCCTTTTAAGCATTCATTAACTAGATTAGACTTCACCAATGTCACTTTTAGTATTTTCTTTTGGGTTAACTCACTCAAAATACTTTACATTTGTAGCTCTATTTGAGAAAACAAAAAAGTGCCAAGATAATCTATTTCGGTTGATGCATGATCTTAAAAACGTCAAAATCTTAATTGCTCCAAGTCTTAGTGGACAATTTTTGAAATTGTTTTCAGTGAGGCATTTCTTGAGGCAACTTCTTGTTGAACTTTTGATAATTTTCTTGAAGCAAGCCTTTTTGCAACTGGTTTCTACTTAAAATTTTCTACATCCAATTAAAAGGCTAAAAAAGAATATATAGAAAAAATGTCTCCCTTTATATATGACTGATAGCTCTGAAACAAATTTTGGGAGAGACATAAACTGAAAAAAAAAGAAGGTAAATTGATAATTAACAGGATAATCGTATTGAAAATTTCTATCTTAATTGTGCAATAGTAAAAAATTGATTTTATTTATTACTTTTGGTGCAAGCTTGTCAAAGTTTGAGAGGTGAGAGGTTATGGTGTTATGTGTCAAAACCACCACTTTTTGTTAAGTGTTAATAAACTATGTTAGTAATGTATGTGACCACAGTCTGAAGTGCTTCAAAACTCAAGTTTCACAAAATTTTAAAACTAAAAGGTCTCTTGTAATCTTTTAATATTTGTACCCTTAAATGCAAGAGAAAATAACATTGTATACTTATATAATTTAATTTCAGAAAAAAAAAAATCAGTTATAGCTTTTCTACTGACAAAACATCTTTACTAAATGAAAATATTTTCCATTTGGGAAGAGAAAAAACAGCAACATTATTCTAAATTTAACAAAAAACATAAATATAATTAACAGCATGACAAACTCTAGCAATTTCGATCCTTCAGCAATAGCAATAACCGTTTCAGCAATATTTTTCTGAACAAAACAAAATAGTAAGAGGCCAATAAGAGTTTAAAATAAAATAAATTTAAGAAATATGATTTTTAATATATTTATAAAAACACAGCAAATTACAACACAATGGTTTTTGGCAATAGATAAACGAATAAAATAAAATAATTGTTCCTGAGATTAGACCTTAAATTGGGGATGAAATATTGGTAAAAATAAAAATAAATAATTTTTTATTTATTTATTACTGAATATCCCAACTAACTTCTCTCAAAAGTAAATTTTGTTTTGGCATAATGATTCTGAAACACTATATTTATACTTCATAAAAAAAAGACCAATATATGAGCTTATGAAGCCCCATGTCAGCCATTTTGAAAAAAAAAAAGAAAAATTGTTTTCTACGGATCATCCTTTGACTTAGGTATTAAATCTAGAAGGTGAGCACAAACCCTGGCCATATATGAAGGCTGAAAAAAATACATGGGAGAAATTACAAATAGATAATTTATTTTTAAAATTATAATTACATCAAATTTTCATTAATCTATTTTTGAATGGGTGGGATGTTGACGTTTTTTTTGTTAGCTTTTTGGGCTCAGATGACCATGTACCAAATTTTTCTTCTTAAACCTTTTGACTTTTTAAGTTACATGCATTTGATATAATACATGCCCAAAAAAATGTAAGCAAAATGTAACAAAAAATAAATTTTATCAGCACACAATTTAAAAGTATAAATTTAAGGTAAAATATATAAATATATTCATCTGAAAGGCAATTAAATTCTTCATAAAACACACCCTACCAAAAAAAAGTCTAAATAGGTCCACCAGCATTTGCAAAGATACAGTGTAATTGGTTTAATGTCTATGTTTTTAAAAAGTATTTTGCTCATGTTGCTATTGAAACCTGATAACTTATCATTAGTTCCTCACATTTCTAAAGATCAATCGGAAGATAATTCATTTTCTACAAAGCTGAACCAAACAAGTTCATTATTTGCGAAGACAGATCTTCCGATTGGACTTGCATCTAAAAAGTTAAAAAAATAATCATGAATGAACACGCCAGATATCTATTAGGAAAAAATAAACCATTGTGTAGTATATATATATATATATGTTTTTTTTTGGATTCCAAGTATTTTGAAACTTAAAACAAATTTTAAGGGTTGATTAATTTTTTTCAATTACGAAGGATTAGTATTGAAGAAAATAAACCCAGATAGGTTTAGGCTTAAACTTAAAAAGAGAAATACAGTTATTAATTAGTTACCAATAGAAAGAAAGAGAGAGAGAGAGTTTGTGTACATGGTCTAAAAAAATTCTTTTGTAAAATAAAAGGCTAGGTGGAGCATTAAAAAGCAGAATCAATTTAAATCCTCAATAAAAATACTTATCTCCAGCAATTAATGAGAAAATGCTCGTGTAACATCACATTAATAATAGTTTGTTAGTTAGAAGACAGTTACATGGTTTGTAACCTAATTTAAATGTTAATTACTATAGTTCAGCAACCAAACACCTCAACATCGTTGTTTTTTAATTGATGGTTATCGTTTTACTAGTAGTAAGGCACAATGAAATAAAATGTAACTTACAAACATGTCAAAATCTACATATAAGCAGTAATAATTACTTAAAACTTGAAAATGAATATTTTAATGTCTTAAGTGAAATAAATTTTTTGATCCAATTTTTTTATTCCAAAAAATAATTTATAAATTTCTTTATCACAAAATGGTACTATAAACATAAAATGCTTTGAATAGCTGAGTCAAATATCCTTTCCATAGTTTTTGATTTGAAGTGTGTTGCTAAACAATTGTGGTAAACAGTAATTAGCTCAAGAAAACTTCTCGTAACTACTAACTTGCGAGGAATTACTTACAGAATTTAGCACTGTTCATATCAGGGGTAGAATGAAAATTGTCATACTCCTCATCTTCCAGTTTGATAGATCGCTGGACCTTGGACATCTAAAACAAAATAAAATAAATTACTTCTCACACTGATAAGCCATACTGACAAATGTTTATGAATATAAAACAGGATTATTGATCCTCACAAATATGTTTGTTTTTTTAATTTTTAATGGTCATGGTGAAGAAGAAACTAGGAATAGTTCAAACTTGTACTCAGTCAGCACCTTTATCTTAAAAACTAAACAATGTGGAAATGAACTTTGTCTCAATAAAGTCTAATAAAAAAATGTAATTATATTTTGACTCTATAAATATAGTAAATAAATGAGGTTGAAAAGCTTCTAAAATTTTGGTGCAAAAAAATAATAGCAATTCTATGCTTTAATATATTGTATTAAGAAAATTACCTTTAACAAAGATATATTATAATTTAACTTGAAAGAATTAGTTTACAACCATTGACAACATATGATGAGAAATAATGTTCTTTCTTTATTTTCTTCATCTATAATTTGGCTATTTTAGCCTACCACCATGGATTTAACAGACTATAAAGCTTCTCATTAATGATCACTACATCACCATATAATCTAATTCACTATAATCTCCTGCATTTATTATTATTTTGAAATTTTTTTGTCGTCAATAACATTTCTAAAATTATTTTAAAAAAAAACTATTATCCAAAACAAGATTTTTTTTAGATATATACTTTCTGTTATTATCAAATAAGCGGGATGTCTACCGAAACCTTTTAATGAAATATCTTAACTTTTTCAGGTTATATTTAGAAAGACTCCAAGTCACTGAAATAATTGTAATAGTACATGATACATACATCAATATATTTCCCTTCTTACTTTTATGGGTATAATTTATTCTCTTTCGTTATGAAGGAGGGTAAAATTGAAAAACTTCCTGACTAAAATATATGAACTAATGTTTATTAATGAGAGAAGGAGTTGGTCGGGGAGTGCAGTCAAATAAATACTAAATTTTTACATGTAAAAATTTGTATAAATATTAAAGATATTAAGTAAAAATACATATTGTATCTCTTATCACATATTCTCATAATATATCACGATCAATCATCTCTACACCATTATAATGTTTATTAATATTCATTTTACATATTTTGAACAATATTTACCATTTCAAATACAACATTGGAGGCCTTATAAGAAAATTATATATTTTTATGATAAATAAAATTGTAATTTGCTGGGATTAGGGACCACCCAGGAATTAAAGACAATACTATCAGTTGATTAATCGGCGAAGGAAGCAACAAAAAAACAGTTAGATAAATATCACATATCTTTTCAGACATCATAAATGAATTAAAAATTTCTATGAAGAGCAAATGGCAGGAAATTTATGAAAAATAAGAAAAATAGATGTTTTATAAATTTTACTGCACACTGAGAACGATGGAACCCTGATTTGGTAATAGCAAAGCTCCTATAACATGAATAAGAACAATGTGCAAATCAATAATTAATCATGCTATCTCAGCTACCTATCTATATATAATTAAGAGAAAAGAAATAAGATTATTGTGAATTGTGTTAAGTTAAGGAAGAACCGAAACATACATTGATGTCATGCGTTAAATATGATGCACAGAGATACCATTTCATCAATAAAATTAAAACTTTAATAAATACAGAAAATCCATAAATAAAAAAAAATTGTAAATCCAACAAACCCCTCTTTGGTATACAAATAAAACTGACAGCTTCTTAATAATACTAACTACTACTAATAATAATACTAACTTTAAACTTTTTTGCCATAAAATTATAGAGAAACAATAAATAAATTTTATAGTTTTTGTCTATTGGAGAAAAATAGTTCCATAATAATTAAGTTAAAAAAAGTTAATAATCGTTTATGATGAAAAATCGATTACTATTATGTCAACTTTTTGTCATGAACAATAATACTGAATCATAATAAGAAAGCTTGTAAATTTCTGTGACTATTCCCTTACTCTTACAGATTAGAAAAACTTCATGATTTTTTCTAGATATTGCACATCAAGTAAGTTAAGGAGTATCAATTTTATATTAGATAAAAAAAACATAAGAATATAGATAATAAAAATAAATTTAGGTTCAGTAGTGAAGAAGTTATCATTAACGAGAAACTAAAGTTCTATTGAAGCAGTGGTGATAACCTAAACAAATTTCCAATGATCTACTCAAAAAGACATGGTAATATTTAAGAGTTTGATTGGAATAATTTTCTAATATAAACTGTGAACCAGAAAAATATAAAAATCTGGTGCACACAACACACCACTTTCACTTACTGCTCTACTTTGAATAGAAATTATTTTCTGGCAATGTTGGGCTATTATAAAATTTCTGAAATGCATTTTTAAAAGAGCTACAGCTTAAAGCTTATATCTAACAAATCATTAAGACTATTAAAATAACATAACCTCTATTAATTATATCAACGGTAGGTAATAAAAACCTCATTACTCCATCTGTTTTTTGTAAACTACATAACTCCAGTCTCTGAGCAATAAACATGTGCCTAGAGACATTTAAAAGTATATATTCAACCTATAAATAATTATGGGTTGTAGGCCTATTAGTTATTAAGATCTTGTTCTTCTGGCCTGTACATCCCTTTCCACAGATCCACCTCATTTGAACACTCCTTTGTTGTCTGATCCACTGCATTTTGGAATTCCATCCCGCTTAAAATCCGCCATATATCCTTATTCACAATTCAATCAGACAGTGGGTAATTATTTATCATATAATAGGTTTTAATTTTCTTCATTTTCTTTTCTGTTATGAATATGGAAAAGATGAAGATCTAGAGTGATACTAAGAAGTATCACTCTTCACAAAGCATTGTGCGTAGGTTTAGTTTGTTTTAATCTTCCTATTCATAAGATAATATCTCTTTAAGATGTAGAGATATATTCCATTTTTCATTAATCTTGGTCCTCTCTATCTCTCTGTGTTTGCATGCGTGCGTGTACTATAGTACATATATAAGTGAATATATAGATAGATAGAAAATAACTTTATTCTGGGATAAAGTCCCTTGAGAATAATAAAATGGAACAAAATTAAAAGATTACATCTGGCCTAACTAAAAACGATAGAAAAAAAGTTTAAAAAAATTAGGTAAACATGCTATATACAAAACAAATAAAACTATATAGAAAACACTTAAAACTATTTACAGGGTAAATACACTTTTCATGTATATCCGTTCAGTTGCATTAAGAATAGGAAAATCTAGCACTATCCCTAGCAAAGAACAACATTAAAATTTGATAGTGAATGGCACGAAATAAATGATTCCAGGAGAGGTTTTGATCAATGAAAAATTCTAAATTTTTAACAGAGGAGTAGAAGGAGATTCGCTGGTTAAGGTGTAATATGGGAAAGGCGGTATGGGATCTAAGGAGCTTGGAATCAATGATAATGGCTTGAGTTTTGTCATAATTCAACCTTAATCCATATACAGTTGCTCAGACACTGATTCAATCTAGGTCTTCTTGAATCTTGGTAAATGCTATCAATAACCCAGGGGGAGAAAATAATAGGTAGATATGAGAATCGTCTGCATAAAGGTGGTGGGAACAATGGAGAATTTATTTATATAGGAGCTGAAAAGGAGAGGAGATATGCTTGAACTCTGAGCAACTCCAGAGGATAAAGAAACATAGTGGTTGATTGGGTATGAAGACTGCTTGGATACTTTGAGAAAGGAAGAGAGAGAGAAATACTTTATTAAAAGTAATGCTGCCCTACTACATAGGGTTGCTTCGTACACAGCATACCTATCAATCCACAAGGACATTAATTTTATATTTCATTTTTATACATATATATGTCATATCTTTCCTTTCTTTCTCTCTTTTTCCTCTTCCCCCTCATAACAATACACTTACAAGTTATCAACAATAAAACCATATTAAATAATATACATAGCACTATAAACATGGAACTATTGGAGAAGATTAATGATTTTAGTTTGTTCAAAAGGGTGGAATGGTTAATGGAATCAAAGGCTTTGGAGAAGTTGAGAAGTATGAGGATAGTCAATTTTTTATCATCTATCGCAGGTAATTATCGCTGGTGATTTTAATTAAGGCAGATTGTGTGGAGTAGCTGGGACGGAAACCAGATTGAAGAGGATCAAGTTGGTAGAACTTTTCAAGGAAGTTGGAATTGCACTAATCTTTCTAGGGAGTTTGAGAGAATGGGCGGAAATCTTCAGGAGAGGATGGATTGGACTTTTATTTAAAGGAAGGACAATGGAATTTTTCCAGGAAGTAGGGAATATTGAATTCTGTAGGGAGAAATTGTAGATGAAAACATGTTTTTCATTTATTGCGCATGGAGCACCTAATTTGTGTCACAGGCATCAGTAGTCAAAACCCTACAAAATAAAAAAGAAGCAACAAAATTTGTTCACTAGTTCCCGAGAAAATCTTGACACAGACAGACCAATGGCTAAAAATGTGTTTTTCGGACTCAGGGAGCTCTGAAACATATAGATCCGCCAAAAACTGCATGTCAGAAATTTGCCCCGAACACAATACTTTCCTTACCTGGTATAGGTAGGAAAGTAAAAAAGGTACAAAGTCAGAAATCAGACTTAATACAGTGAAAACTGACTGCCTAATCGTTAAATATTAGATGATTGATTTTTTTTTTACAAATCAATACAATCTATTGAGATTCAAAAAAAAGATTTTGAGAAGAAATGTGGTGTCTATGTATATCAACGATGTATGGAGATTGAAGAAAAACAATGAGTTTATGAATTCCTACAATGACCTTGATATCATCCATTTAATAAAGTTTGGACATCTAAGATGGACAGAACATGTTGCACATATGGAAAATGAAATCCCCAAATTACTCCTAGGAGAAAAAATATTTAGACGTAGAAGAGTTGGAAGACCTTGTCTGCATTGGGCGAATTGGACGAGCTCAGAAGCTGTTGGGAATACGAAAATGGAAGGCAGCAGCACAAAACAGGGAATACTAGAATACTGGTGACTCCGACTAAGG